CAACAATGTACCTTACTATCATTGATAATAACAATACTGTGTACCTGCTAATATCGATGTCATAAAATAACAATTAGCTACCTGTATTTGTAATCTCTTGTGTATTATATGTGTATATGTATACATATAACTCAAAAATTTAAAACTTTAAATGTTTATATCTAATAAACAAATAAAGTTATATTAAAAATTCAAATGCCATTTACTATTAAATTAAAAACTCAAACATTTTATTAAGTTCAAAATATGTGTTCCCATTTAAAAAAAACAAAGTTGACACCCTTTTAGTTATTATTGAGGTGGACATAATGCCTATGCACTCAGACCTGTTGGTCCATTGTGCGCAAGTTGACACCCTTACCAGGCATAAGGGATGAATTTAAAAAGTATTACATAGTTAATAATTCAAGAATAATGTGTAACTAAAGATAATAAAAAAAAAATGTTTAAATTATTATTATTCTGTAAGTATTGAGTGGGTTATGATAAAAAAAAAATCTCCCTGTATATAAGTAGTGAAGGGGTCATCTTATTGTTGCTATACAGTTGATTGACTGTTGTGTCATCAGTATGGGTGGTAATATAAGTTGACCTTCTACCGTCTCCGTGCGGACTATCCGCAATATTCATGTATTATTAATTTGTTATAAACGTAATATATATTTATTAATTTATTATATACTAAAAGTCGACGTCTTATTACTTTATTATTAAGCACCTTATAGACTTTATAGTGTTATTACAGTATTATTTTTAAGAGTTTAATGGGAATTTATAATTATATTTTACTATTAAAAGGAGAATGGATTACATGAAATTTTGAGCTAACGAGTGATGTTGATGTAAAAAAAGGTGGAAAGAGTATTTGGAAAAATTACTAAATGAGGAGTATCCAAAAGAGATATTATAGGATATCTCGTGGAACGAGGGACTGGTAGATTAAATTAATGTGAAAGAAGTATGGGGGCTATGACATCAATTGAAAAGAACAAAGCATTAGGACCAGATGAAGTGCCAGTAGAAATATGAAAAATATTAGACCATGTTAGCATAAGATGGTTCAAATATCTTTTTAATAAAATCCTATTAGAAGGGAAAATGCTAAAAGAATGGAGAAATAATATTGCGGTGACAATATTTAAAGGTAAAGGAGACATATAGAAATGTAGAAATTATAGAGGTTTAAAGCTTATTAGTCATATTATGAAAAATTGGGAAAAGATAATAGAATAGAGACAAAGAAGAACACTAGATGGGTGAAATGAGATCAGGAACGATGTGTTAGGAGAGATGGAAAATTTTAAGTATTTAGGATAAGGAACGAGCATATAAGAGGGAGGAAGTATAGGTGTAGGATCAATCGTGAATAATATGAGAGAAAATAGACTTAGATGGTTTGGTCATGTTATGAGGAGAGAGGAATCGAAAGCCGTAAGAACAATTATAGAAATGAATGTTGAATGAAGAAGAGGTAGAGGAAGACCACAAAAGAGATGGAGGGATGTTATTGAATGCGATATGAGGACGGCTGATGTAAGCGTAGATAATGTGGGAGATCATGTCAAGTGGAAGTTTGGGATAAGAGTGGCTGACCCCAAGTAGTTAGAATTAAGGCGAGGAAAAATAAGTAAAGAAAATATAATATCTGAACTTTAAATGTAAGATATTTTACATAGACAAAAAATATCTCATATTATTACAATTTTGAAGTGAACAATATTATTTATATTTATCTAGATTATTAATATTTTAAAAATATCTGCAGTGTTTAATTTATTTTATGGTTAATTATGACAGTAATTCGATAATGGATAAAAGTGTCGTATCACTTAATAGCTTACAAATTAATAAAGCCTTTAGGTCGTAACTTAGTAGTGTTGTCCATTTTGACATAGACGATATTGTACAACCCTAATAACATTATTTTTAAAAATTGCTATCTAGGAAGTTGTGCCTGTTCACTAGTAAGCAAAAGATTATACAAAATCTATGACTGATTTTAATATGTAAAAGATTCTAAACTCTCTATTTTTTATTAGAAATATTAAAATCTGCCCTTAATTGAATTTTTATCTTTCTTGAATATTAATTTTTTTTCATATTTTTTGGAAAATATATTTTATAGTTAGATCGACACCAATATTTTTAAAATCTTTCACTGAAACACAAGATTCAAAAATACTTATATTTATGTAAATTTTTTATAAAGGCGGTATTGTGATAACTCAATGTGTCCCGGGGGTGACTTCTTAAAAGGATTCAGTACAATAATCACCAAGTCGAATATTAAACACAAAAAATATATTCGTAAGTTTCTTTGGGCTGTCAGCCGACGCCATTTGCGTTAGAACATAGACATTAAACTCTCAGATCAGCTACCCAATAAGAAAAGTACACAATACATTTTTATTATTAAAAATTAAAAATTAGGTTGGATTTATTAGTAAAATAAAGTAATTTAAACGAAGATTTAATGTTTTAAATATTAATATTAATTAACATTTATTTTCATAATAATAAATAAATAAAACATTATTATTTAATGAACAAATAAATATAAATTAAAAGATTCACCAAAACAAAATTCACTTTAAAATTTCTAAGTATTTTTTAATTGAAAAATATTACCGAAAGAGCTGGTTTTGATGGGGAAAAATGGCTTTTATTGTCAGAATGGATAGTCTAGCGATCCCTCGCGTGAACTTGTAAGTTGAAGCTTTCTATTCTAATAGGTTAATTTCAATGGGAGAACTGCGCGTAGGCGTTACTTAAAAATCTATACAATAAGTAGATTTTATCCCATAATTAGCTGGTTATTTTGTATTTTAAATAAGGGAACCCTGTTTTGGTGATCTTGTATCTTCATAATATGTGACACACGTGTACAAACAATAAAATCATATATGCAAATATTATAAGTGTTAATATAATATTTCACTAATTCAATGACCTATAAAATAAGTGTTAACTGAAAAAGTAAACATAAATAGTATACCAGTAAGAATTGTATATAAATGTCTAAAATTCAATGTTAATACAGAAAATAACCTATTTTTTCCATAATACTCTTAATTGTGATTGTAAAATCATGTTTTAAAAATCCAAATAAAATTTGCTAAGAATCGAGCTCCGTTGAGCTCTATAGTGAAAATAATCTTTAGTTACAGAAAAATATTCATAGAATAATTATAAATACTTTATAACTGCTTATATTTGCTAATAAATCATAGAAGCCTTATTACATATAAAAAATGTCGATAAAAATTACCATATTGTTTGTTTTTTAATAAAGATCATATTTCGATTACAACTCTTTTTATTACAGCTCACATTTTACTTTTCACCAATTAATAATATTGTACATAAATTATTAGTCATTGGTTTTACAAAGGTTTTATTTATAAATGAAAAGAAATTTGTCGTTCAACAATAATCAAACTAAATAATATTTTAACGAATATCTTATTAAACGGATTATTTTACTTATACTAAATTTAGTAATACTGAAATCTATTATTAAGATTACAGAACTATTATACATTTTTTAGAACATCTGAAAACAACCTGTATTATCATTAATGTAGAGAATACTTAAACGATTTTTTTCTTCTTTTTTTTAACTGGACTTAACTAGCAGGTCTAAAAGCTACCCCTTTAGAGGCTTTTTAGGTTGACAGATTGTGCTAACCCGTAGTATCCCGACAGGAGTATTTGTAAAGAAATAAGTTGTGATGCTGAGTATTATTATTAATTTGTTTGTATGCATTTGGGTCAACGGTCAGGTCAAGCCGGCATATGACAAAATAAATAAACCGTAAGATCTTATGGTAAATTTATGAAGTCTAGTATTAGTAATAATAACAATGCTCCTAATAAGCACATTATTTATTATATCATTTTTATTTTCATGAATTTTCAGCTGTACACCATCACACTAGTCAGTGTTGACGATAACAGTATATTCGTGTTATCCGGTGGTTGGTAGATGGGACGGGCGGGAGGCAGCACCACCAGAAACGTTAGCAATTATGTAAACCAATAAGTCTCCTGTGACTTATATGTGCCACAAATATCGCTAAATCATTTTGTGACTCGTAAAATTATTATCGCTTTTAATAAAACAAATAAACTTTATTATATTTTAGTGTATCAAAAATGTGTGATACATATTTATTTTTAAATACCCACATACCGTTGTAATAGTTACGAAGAACATACAGAGTGATTTCTTAACTACACTTTACGTAATATCTTCGAAAATATTTGAGCTATCTATAATTTTATTTTTTTTAACAATAATAGTTCTTGTTGAGCTGTTTTACACAAAAAAATATTTTTCTGCTTTTTTTTTTACCCATGAGCTGGTTGGCAGTATCTGTTTGTAAATACTGATACTTTTAATATCCTTGAGGATCTTTAATTTAGTAGCTTCCCCTTACTTTATGTATCCTATGCCGTTGGCACCTGTTAGAGTTCATCTGCTTTTAGCGGTGATTTTTCACCTCGAGGCAATAGAATGATTGTAAAGAGTACTCCTTATACCTAGAGAAGATCGGATTTGTCTGCTACCATTCTTTATACTTTAAATTTTCAATATTAAAATGACAAACCTAATTTTTTTTATAAAATCGAATTAGGGTTGCTATTTGAAAATCAAAAGTTCATACCATTTAACAGTATAAGGGATGCTAGCAGAAAATTAAATTTTCGTGAAAAGCAGCTCAACATAGAACAATTAATGTTAAAAATTATTGATTAGCTTTAATATTTTCGAAGATATTTCATGAAGCGTAGTTAAGGTATTACTCTGTATATTGCAGCAATGCTTTATCATAGTGTCATTATAAAAACAAAACAAGTAAATGTTTCTCAATTATTTATCACGTAACTTCAGTGCTAATTTAAATATTGTCAATAAATTACTTTTAATATAAAATCAGTTTCAAATATTCTTTACAAAATTAAAATTCAAAAAAAAATTATAAAGGAATCAGATTTTTTAGAGAAAATATGGTACGTCAAAAAGGTTTTGTATAAAATATTAATCAATTTTTAAAATATTTTTACCATTATAAATTGTTTTTAGTAATGCAAAAAAATTAATACCATTTAATTACACGATATAATAATGATTATAATTTGACCACGTTATAATTAATTCATTTCAGTTATGTAGAAAATAAAATATATAATTATAGCAGTTAAATTTTTTTGTCTTCACGATGAAAACAGACATCAAAGTTAATAAAAAAAAGCGATTTTTGTAAAAAAATTATTTTTTATATTTTTAACTTTAGAATGCTATAACTTTTTGCAAAAGGTATGGATCAATATAATTTTTTTTTATAGATGCTTGATGTCTTTACTTATAATTTGGTAAATTTTTTTTATAAATCTGACCCTTTACCAAAATTTACTATTTTTATTAAAAAGGTATGCAAATTCTAAAAACAAACAACTTATGAATTAACATTTCAGATGTTATTAACAATTTTTTAAACGAGAAGTGAAAAATTAAGAAATATGAATTCGAGAAATGCCTTGTGATAAAAATAATAACAACAGCGTCTCACCTACAGCCATCACTATATAATGTTAACAACTTCCAAAATACTGGTCCAAAAGTTATTATGACCAGTCATTTTCTTAATCACATTATTTATTATCCAAATGACAACTTTTTCACAAAAAAATATCTTTTTCAACTCAACTTTTGAAATTGTTTCAGAAAGTCTGACACTTTTATATATATCTTAAATAAAAGCAAATGTAATATACTTTATTATGGGGGAAAAAAATTTGGATTTTATTTTGTCTTTACGGTGAAAATGGCTACCGGATGCTATTTTTGTGTGAAAATTCTTGATTTTATTTTTTACATTTTTAACTTTATAATGCTATAACTTATTGAGAAGTGAATGGATCAACACAATTTTTTTATAAGAAATAATATTTATATCCCTTTTTCATTCGACATACTTTATCTAAATCAGAATATTAATAAGGAAATAGCAAATCATGTAGCTTTTGGAATTATTCACCAATATTTTAAAATTAAACACTATCTAAAAATTTGCATCCAAGCATTTTTTATGACAGTGATTTTAATCACTGTCAGATATCATTATACTTGATCCAACTATGCCACGTCACCACTGTGCTGCGACCCCACTGTGCTGGGTTTTTATATTCATGGTTGAAATAAAAAATAAAAATTTTATTATTCCATTTGCTATATTGTATTAATATGAAGTATTATTATTTATTTTAAATATCAATTTAAATAATATACAGATCGATTCAATTATTATAAACCACTTAATAATTCTAAAAATAAACCCAACACATTAAGGTCGTGGTTCAATGGGGATTTGATATAGTTAGGATAAGTATAGATGATATCAGACAGTGTTTAAATTCAATATAGGATCATTCCGTGTGAAATCACCTAATATGTGATCTGCTATAGTTCAGGAATTTTTGAAATTTTTATCATAGATTTTTGAAGGTCATTGAAAACAAAAATTATTTTTATTATTATTTTCTATTGTTTTTTACCAGATATCGCAGTTTTTATAATTAAAAACATGAAAAAACACCTTATGTTCTAGAGCCTATAACTTTACATCCAAATAAGCTATTATTGTGAAACAACACAGTTTTACTCATTAAATAGTACAGTGTCCTAGAATAACCTGACGATAAAATTGAATAACACACCAAAAAAATTAAATACAGCGTTGATGTCGGTCTCTATAGATAGCCAATAAGATCAATTTTACTCATATATGGTTAGTTGGTACCATAGAGTCTTGGACAAAACAACAACATGTGTTCACTGTTGAGAGCTATTTTCGCAATAACGAAAATACGCGTTTAACGTGAATTTCGTTAACATTTTAAGATTTAGCCGCGGTATCCTATTCCTGCTCGCAGAACCCTATTAACCTGGGTAAAAAAAACTTCCGTGAAACTGTTACAGTATCGACTAAAAAAAAAACGTGTCGGCAGAAGAGTGAACGAACTGCAGAGAATGTTGAACGAGTACAGGAGAGCTCGCAAATTAGCCTGCTTCGATCGGAATGATTGGGTTTGGTTGGATTGGGTTGGGTTTGGTCTAGAAGTTTTAAAAAATTTGTACGAAAATTAGGTAGAAAGATTGAAATGTTGTGTAGTCACTGATTGCAAACATTTAAGTGATGTTGTTTTTCATATTTAAAATTGATATAATTTTGTGTCTTGTGTAAATGTTTTATTTCATATTACCCATTATTTTATGCTTTATTCAATTTTGAAATCGTCAGGTTATTCTGGGACACTCTGTACTTCAATTTCAGTTTTATGTTTATGAATTTTGAATTTTTTTAACATCGAAATTTTAATTTTAATTTTGAAGTATTTAAATAGCAAAATTTAAAGATCAACATATTAAACTATTTATAGAATATAATCAGATTATTTAAAATATTCTAAGAATATAGTTTGACAGCGAATATTACATTCTCACAATATTTTAAAGGTATATTTTTAAAATATTATAAAATAAATATTATACAAAAGATGTTTTATGAATATTTTATAAAAATTCAATATTAGGAAAATTACAAATTACCTCAGTTGTCTAACAAAATATATATATTTAATATTAAAAATATTATATTGATAATAGTCCATAAATATTTCGAGTTAAATATTCTATATTTATTTTAATTAATATATTAATATATTCTCAAAATATAGATAAAAAAATATTTTAAAAAGTATTTTGTAAGAATATTTTGTCAATATTAATATATTGAAATTGCTCTGTAGAATGATAATTACGATGTAATTTGAAAAAAATTCGTTCAGTCACTTTTGTGTAATGAGCTGATAAAGTTTGCTATTTTTTGCATATTCAAAACTGTCAAACGATACAAAAAAAAATTATAAATCGATTCAAATATTATATAGGTTAAAAGAACATAACTAAAAGTTCTGAAAATAAAAAAAAATGTTATTAAAAATTTGTTAACCTCCAAATTTTACTATTAAATTACTGCAAAATTAAAATTAAAATTTCGGTGTTAAAAAATTCAAAATTTATAAACTTATTATAAAAACTGCGCGATATGATACAAAAACAATAGTAAAAAAATAAAAATAATTTTTGTTTTCAATTATCTTCAAGAAATCTATGATAACAATTTAATAAAGTTCTGAACTATAGCAACACATTTATTAGGTGATTAAAGGAGTTTTAATGAGGTATTTACTCTACTCTTCTATAGAATTATATCGTTTGACCTTATATATAGATAATTTTATATAGTATGTCCAATAATACACACATAAAGTATTTATGAAAAATAACTGTATACATTATACATTGTATACATACATTTTTCAAAAAGTTATAGCAATTTAAAATTGAAACAATTAAATATGAAATTGAAAATTGTAATAGAAATATTTCGTTAAAAAAAACTACGGTTGCCGCTTGCTTATAGAGTATTATCGTTGAGACATATTTTTTCTTTATACTTAAAACACATAACATAAGTGTTATTTTAACATGTTTGAAGCTCACAGTATTTCCGGAATATTTTCAAAATTTGTTGTTCAAAAGTTAAATATTTAAGGGCAATGTCTTCAACTAAATACAATTTGTGATCTTTTGATGTATCGTTGAAATAAATCGGTTGGGTAAGAGTTAAGAAAAAATGACGACAGACATAAAAAAAAACACATAGTAAAATTATTACCTTCTAAGTTTTACACCTAAGATAAAATAATATTAATAAATTTTGTTTTTTTTTTAGTTCAATGTTTCTCTCAATTTTCCATTATAAAGATTTTTTTGTTCATACCTTATACCTTATTTAATAGATAATGATCTAATTAAAAAAACTACTGGTCAATAAGATCATTTTTTTTAATCAGATTATTATCTATTAAAATAAGCTAGTTAATTAGAGGTGCTACCACTTGAGAATTTAATATTAATAATCTTATTAGGAATAAGGAATAAACATAAAACCCAGCACAGTAGGATCGTGGCACAATGAGGACGTGGCATATTTGGGTCCAGTATAGATATAATCTGACAGTAATTAAAATCACTATCATAAGAAACACTTCGATGCAAATCTATAGATAATGTTTAATTCTAAGAAATTGTTGGATAATTACAAAAGAAACAACAATTATTTCCTTAATTATATCCAGATTAGAAATTCTTAGATCCAAAATATAATATAAAATTTTAGATTTTGGATTTTAAATTTTCAACTTACAAATGCTATAACTTTTCGAAAAATGTATGTATCAACACAAATTTTTTTTTTCTAAATACATTATAAGTACATCATTCATTTTATTAATATTGAACAATTTTCCCTTATATTGGGGGCGTTCAAAACTTGAATCATTATATAAAAAATAGAACTTTTTCAACAGAACATTTGAAAATGTTCCGGAAATACTGCGTCCTTTAAACATTTGTCAAATTAGAGCTTGTCATGTACTATAAAATTTAAAAAAAAAATTTGTCCCAACGACCTATCTTCTATGCGCAAATGGCTACCGTATTCAAAAATATGCTATTTTTTTATTAAAATTCTGGGTTTTGTATTTTATTTTATTTTAAAATATCTTATTAGGGTAATACATTGACTTTCATGAATATTATATAATTTAATTGTCATAGAATAAAGTTCATAAGACATAAAAAATTAAACTTATTAAAATTTTTTTATTTTTTCAAGTAGAAAAAGTAATTTTTAAATTTGAGTTAGCTTAAATAGCCAATTTTATCAAGCGACGAAAGCAACGAAACGTTGCCAAGTCTGTAAGACTTGTGACATTCATTCACAGGGTACAAGGTTCAAATCCGTCTGTGGCAATTAATATTTTGCATTTTTTTTTTTGAGTTAGAATAAAATTTTCAAATCAATTGATGCTTATCTCATTTAGATTCAATAACTTCAATAAATATAAAGGATCATATCACTATAGTCTCCCCTCGTGAGAAGAAATTTATATACATGTTAATATTATTTTACTATGTGGTTCTTTTTGTGGCTACGATTTATTTTGCCAACCCTCACTAGACCTACTTTTTTCAACGATACGTCGAATGATCACAATTTGTATTTAGTTTGAGTTATTACTCTTAAAAATCGAAAAAATATTCCTTATTCAAATAAAAAGTAGCATAACCAGCTTTTTCCATACAAACAATTAAAATCATTAATTTCTAATATTCTTAAAGTATTCATTGTCGAATTAGATTTGATATGATAAAAGTATTCAACTACAGAAGTAAATAATTTTACTTTGTCATTTATTAATTTTTTAACTCTATTTGTGTGTGCTACTACCATTTTATAATATTCCAATTTTTTTTTGTAACATATTGCTATATAAATCATAAATTAAAAAAAAAAAATTATTTTTAGTTTCACCTTAATTTATAATTTATTATTAAGCAATTATTATAAAATTTTATAATACGCTCAATTGAGTAAATCTTTGTAAAAGCTTTTTTTTTTATTAGTTTTAGCTTCGATGCGAAGCTGAGAAGGTATTGGTTTTACTATGATGTGTTTTTTTTTTTTTTTTTTTTTTTTTGTGTCTGTTACCACTTTTTCTAAGCTCTCACCGAACCGATTTCTTTCAATGATACGTCAAAAGATCACAAATCGTATCTAGTCGAAGACATTACCCTTAAAAATTGAAAAAAATTCCTCCGTTCCCCGTAAATGGGGGAAACCTCCAAAAAAATTACAAATTTAAAAATCGCTAATTTTCAAAATTTTTTCAATTTTTTTTACTAAAATGTGCCGTAACTTTTTCAAAAATAAACATATCAATATAATTTTTTTTTTATAGATGCTTAATGTCTTTACCTATCATTTGATATATTTTTTTTGTAAATGTGACCCTTTATCTGCCCACAGGGGGGGGATTTAAAAAGACAACTTTTTCACAAAAAATTAACTTTTTCAACTTAACTTTTGAAAATGTTCCGGAAGGTCTGACACTTTTATATATATCTTAAATTAAAGCTAATGTAATATACTTTTATTTTAAAAAAAAAATTTGACCTCTGAAATCGCTACCGAATGCTATTTTCGTGTGAAAATTCTCGATTTTATTTTTTACATTTTTAACTTTATAATACTATAACTTATTGAAAAGTGTATGGATCCACACAATTTTTTTCTGAGAAATAATATTTTTAATAAACCCTTTTTCGTTCGACATACTTTATCTTAATCGAGATATTAATAAGGAACCAGCAGATCATGTAGCTTTTGGAATAAAACACCAATTTTTTTTTAATTTAACACTATCTAAAGATTTCCATCAGAGCGTTTTTTTTTATAGTGATTTTAATCAATGGCAGGTATCATTATACTTGATCCACCTATACCACGACACCACTGTGCCGCGACCCCCTGTGCTGGGTTTTTTTTAGATATATAATCATTAAAATTAATTAAATTCTGAATATTTCCATTGTAGAATCTTTTTAAACGCCAAAAGTTAATTAGAAATAATTACTATGATTTTTATTTAAGTGATGTATTACGATAAAAATGTAAAAAAATCTAACTTTTGTGATAAATCTACTGTAAATAGTAATTATAAAAATCCCTGATTGCATATTAATCTTAAGAATTTAATTTTTTTCTATTTAATAATGTCAATTTCAAACTTGCAAGTTAAGCTAAATGTTATGGTAATAAATTCATTTTTTTTTTTTTTTATTAAAACTTTCACTTTAAATGACAAAAAAAAGTAGGTTCAAAATGATTACTTTTAACATATTAAAAATAAAAATCAATAATAATTTGAAAACAATTAATTTTAAAAATTATATAATATATAATTAAAAGAATTACTAATCTGGGTATAATTAAGGAAATAGAAGTTGATGTTGCTTTTGTAATTATCCATCAATTTCTTAGAATTAAACACTATCTACAGATTTGCATCGAAGCGTTTCTTATGATAGTGATTTTAATCACTGTCAGATTAAATCTATACTGGACCCAACTATGCACCGTCTACACTATGCCACGACTCCACTGTGCTGGGTTTTTTTGTTTAATTCGGTAGCAATTTACTCATAGATGATAAAGTGTCGGGACAATTAAGTACAAAAAACATCAACATAAGGTTTCAATACAAAAAAATATTATTTTTATTTGTTCATTTTTGAAAAAGTTATGGCAGTTTTAAGTACAAAAAACATCCCGATAAAAGGTAATTTTTATCGCAAACATTACATTTTTTTTTAAATTTTCGACAGCCATTNATACATTTTTTTTTTAATTTCAACAGCCATTTGCACATAGAAGATAAGGTGTCGGGACAAATTTTTTTTTTTCATTTTATAATACATAAAATAAGCATTAATTTGATATATGTTTAAAGGACGCAGTATTTCCGGAACATATTCAAAAATTAAGTTGAAAAAGTTAGTTTTTGTAAAAAAGTTGCTATTTTAAATCAGTGGCGTCAGTTCAGTTTTTTTTTTGGGTGTGCAAGATTTCAAGTAGGCCATTTTGAAATTTCATCAGGTCATATAAAAATAGATATACCTCATTAAGTAAACAAAAAAAAAATCCAACCCAGCACAGTGGGATCGTGGAACAGTTGGGACGTGGCATATTTGGGACAAGTATAGATGATATCTAACAGTGATTTCAAATCACTATCATAAGAAACGTTTCGATGCAAACCTGTAGATAGTATTTAATTCTAAGAAATTGGTGGATTATTTCAAAAGCATAATAAAATCCTATTTTTTGTTCTACTATGACTACCATTTACACATAAAAAATAGGTAGTCGTTCCAAATTTTTTCTTTTGAACTTCTAGTACATAAATAAAGTTTTATTTTATCATATATTTAAAAAACGCAGTATTCCCAACACATTTTCAAAAGTTAAGTTGAAAAAGTTCTAATTTCTAAACAAATTTTCAAGTTTTCAAAAAATCAAAGTCACTTTTCTTAACTTTGAGGAGGTAAAATAATCAAAATAAGTTTATATTTATATTTAATGTGGAATGAGGGACTAGTAGATTTAATTAGCGAGAAAGAGGTATGGGAGGCTGTAGCATCAATGAAAAAGAATAAAGCAGTAGGACCAGATGAAGTGCCAATAGAAGTATGGAAAATATTAGGCGGTGTTAGCAAATAAGCTGGTTGAAGGATCTTTTTAATAAAATCTTATTAGAAAGAAAAATTCCAAATTAACGGAGGAATAGTATTGTGGTGCCGATATTTAAAGGTAAAGGAGACATAGAGGAGTGTGGAAATTGAATGTAATATTGGGACGGCTGATGTGAGTATAGATAAAGAAGATTGTGTTAAGTCGAAGTTTTGGATAAGAGTGGCCGACCAAAATTGAAAATGACAAAATTTATCGATTTTTAAATTAGTAATTCTTTTGGAAATTTCCACCATTTGCGGAGAACGAGGGAAAATTTTTCAATTTTTAAGGGTAATGTCTTCAACTAGATTCGATTTATAATCTTTTGACGTATTGTTGAAAGAAATCGGTCCAGTGAAAAAGTGAAAACAGACATAAAAAAAACACATCATGGTAAAATTAATACCTTCTCAGTTTCGCATCGAAGCTAAAAATTATTTATGGTTGAAAAATTGAAAGAAACATTGAACTAATAGAAAGAATAGTATATTAATATTATTTATATTTATAATTTAATTTTAAACTAATTTCATAATAATTTTCATTTCATTTTTTTTAAAGATACTATTTATACATCTTCAGTTAAAAATGTTTATATAAAAAACTAGGGATATGGTTTTAAGTTTGTTAGGTTCAACACAACATCATAATTTAAAACATCAAGTATTTTTTTGAATAAAAATGTGATTTATAATTTTCTAATTATAGTTATATATAATGATGTAATTAAACCAAATCTAAGTCCAACTAAGAACTAATCTAGTGACCTTAATCAAACTATTTAGAACTTAAACACCACCTAAATTTTATGAAATTCATTAATAAAACTAAAAAATTTATCCAAAGTTTATTTATCACAGTTCTAATCATTTTATTTAATTTCATGTCATCATAGTTTTTAATATACAATTATATAAATATCATTAAGTAACATTTGTTTCAGGATATTATTTTGTCAATAATAGTTTTTGCTGTCATTAATCAAATTGTGGCAATGGAAGGTATAATTTTTAAAAATCTATATACAGGGTGATTTTTTTATCATAACCCACTCAATTACTTACAGAATAATAATAATTTAAAAATTTTTTTTTATAACTATCTTTAGTTACACATTATTCTTGAATTATAAACTATGTAATACTTTTTAAGATCATGCCTTATGCCTGGTAAGGGTGTCAACTTTGTTTTTTTTAAATGGTAACACATATTTTGAATTTAATAAAATGTTTGAGTATTCAATTCAATAACAAATGTCATTTGAATTTTTAATATAACTTTATTCGTTTATTAGATATAAACATTTAAAGTTTCAATTTTTTGAGTTAATATACAGGTATAATACACTAGGGATTACAAATACAGGTAGCTAATTGATTTTTTATGATATTGCTATCATAGTCACGGATTGTTTATTATCAATTATGACTATCAATAGATATACATTCTGTATTGTCAGTTAGTGTATTTATAAACTCACAACAATGTGTCTTACTACCATTGATAATAACAATGCTTTGTACCTGCTAATATCGATGTCATAAAAAACCAATTAGCTACCTGTATTTGTAATCCCTAGTGTATTATACATGTATATTAACTCAAAAAATTGAAACTTTAAATGTTTATATCTAATAAACGAATAAAGTTATATTAAAAATTCAAATGACATTTGTTATTAAATTAAAAACTCAAACATTTTATTAAATTCAAAATATGTGTTACCATTTAAAAAAACAAAGTTGACACCCTTACCAGGCATAAGGGATGAACTTAAAAAGTATTACATAGTTAATAATTCAAGAATAATGTGTAACTAAAGATAATAATAAAAAAAAAATTTTAAATTATTATTATTCTGTAAGTAATTGAGTGGGTTATGATAAAAAAATCACCCTGTATAATGTTATTCAGTAAATGAGAACTTAATTAGGTAATTTTTTTTTTAAGGATCACGTACAGATATACGTGTCCTTTCGGCATACTAAAAAGAAATAAATATATAAGTCTCACAATATAAGTTTAAAGCCGTAGTATTTAATTATAAGTCTTGGGAATGTTGTTTACCAAATCTGACAAGTACAAGGTGACTGATTTGTCGTTTACCACTAAATTTCTTTTAAAATAATAATTAAAAAATAAAATTTCATTTAGTATCGATAATGAACAATAGTTCATTATCGAATTATATGCAATTATATATTTTCAAGTGTGTCTCATATCCCTTTTAAAAGGATACCAATTTAGTATCAACATACATATTTAAAAAATTCATATAATAAAAATGACGGAAAACGGTCAGCGATAGACTTAATTGACACCTTGAAACTTACAATATAATTATAACGACCAAACAGATTTTTGGAAAGCCATAGTACGTATCACACCCTGATCTTCATACAAAGTGACATATGTGAAGCTTTATACAAAAAAAACATATACTTATGTTGTCATTGGACATCGAGAAGGCTTATGATATGATCTAAAGGGATTGTGTATTGAACAATCTGTTAAAATATAAAATAAATTGAAGTATGTATTTTATTTGTTAAAAAATTCTTATATAATAGAACAATACATGTATAGCTTCAAAACTAACTTTCTTATTAACTCCTAATAGAAAATCATCTAGCTCGAAATGAAAACAATTTTTAATATATGCTTAAGTAGTCTTTTTCAACAATTTCTTGTACTTAAGTTTATTATCATTGGATTTTTATAAACCGCATACCAAATAAGAGATCATTATCTCTAATAATCTCATTTGGATCAGTGTTTTTAAAAAATTATTACATCAGTTTTAAAATGCAGATAAACTTTTGAAAATATAATTTTTTTCGGTATTGCAACTTTGATATATTTTTCCAAAATTCGAATACTGAAGGGAGTTTTTTTAATTTTTGACACTGATAAGTTCATCTATATTAAAATATTGTTGTTTTTGCATATTGATCATTAAAATCGATCCAAGGAGAACTGAGAAATTTCATGGACAAACATAAAAAAATACACACCATCACAAAACCAATATCATCTCGAAACTAAAACTTGTGTTATCATAAAACGTAAAATATTGATAAACATAACAATATTTATTACGTAAAACAAAAAAAAAAATTCGAACGTTATATTTAAAAAATTTTATGTAAGAAAAAAATAGTGATTTGCCTATATCAAACAAAAATACTTATCGTAATAAATTATGTTTCAAGCCTTTTTAACGTAAAACGTAAAAATGTAGTAACGCTAGGATGCCACTCTATATGGAAAAAAACTGGTGTCAAAATGTTAAGAACAACAAATTTCAAACAAAGAAATAAGCTAGTTAAATATACAGAGTGACGGTTTATTATAAACCGCTCGATTTCTCTCAAAATAAATTTAATATTGAAAAAGACAAATTTAGTTTGTTTTAGTTCCATGTATATCTTGATTTATCAGCTAATAATTACTTTTTAGGATCACACATTATAACGTATAGGAGTGCCTAATTAAATTTTTTAAAGAACAGCATTAATATTACATTAGTTTATTAAATAGGATATAATTTAATTCAGAAAATGACTTATGAATAACAACTTTTCAATCAATACTTTGGAAGTTATTCTCCTTTCTATACACAAAGAGTACAATCGTAAAATGTGTAGTTATGAAAATAGCAGCACCCACTCCTCACTTTCAATCATTAATTCAAATTGTTAATAACTTCTTATATACTGGTTCAAAAGTTGTTATCGACCAGTCATTTTCTTAATTAGATCACTTCCTATTTTTAAGCGAGATAAGTGTGTACGTTGCCATTTAAAAAATTAAGTTAACCATCCCTATAAGTTATAAGAGACTAGTCTAAAAAGTTATTATTAGCTGATAAATCAAGAATTACGTTTAACTAAAAGAAATCAAAATTTTTTTTTCAATATTGTATTTATTTGGCAAGTAATCAAGTGGATTATGATAAACCGATCACTCTGCGTATGTTTATATTTAAATAAATTAAGTAGTTAAAGTAATTTAATTATAATTATGAAAATCTTAATCATTAAGAATGGTGAATAATAAATAACCTAATAACTACATAAATAAGTCAATAAGATAATTCTCAAAATTATTATTATTTTAGAAGAAATCTAGTGATAAATGATAAATAAATTACTCTGTATAAAAAAATCGATACTTAATGTAATATTAACATTACATTAATATTCTTTGAAAAACTAATCATATATATGATATATTATATAATATTCACAAAACTTTTGTATAACTTAATATAAAAATATATTAGGGCTATCATTTATTTATAGAACAATATATAAAATGTCATAATTGTGGTGTTAAAGAAGCTACGTTGATCATTAGACCTTGTGGGCATGATTATTGTCAAGATTGTGCACTAGATAAGAAGAACAGTAATAAAAAAATGTGCTCATGTGGATATGGTATCAAAAAAATAGGTGGGTAACCAATGAAATTAACTACTTATTAAACATTGGAATTTTATACAACAAATTAGTACCAACTTACTAAATAACAAAATAATGTATATTTTTATATATTTTGGAGTTTTTCTTTTAATATTACATGACTTAAATGTATTTTTCAAAATATTATTTTAAATTAAGTCTTATTAAAATTATTTCACTAAGTAATTAATAAATAGAGTAAAGTGAATAGTAATTGGAAGAGGTAATTTTTAGAATTAGTCAGACTTTTTGGTTAGTATTTATGCCAAAATTTTAACTTTTTTTTTATAGAAGGCAAATAACTGAACTTTTTGGAATTTTATTAAAGAACTATTTATTGATATAAAACTATTGAACTTATAAAAATTCTGATGTAATCATTTTAATTTCATTAACAATTTTTATTAATTAAATCTAGTAAGTAAAAATAAACTTAAACAATAGAATAAATATATTGATTAAAATCTAAATTTTTTTCTTGAAGTTAACTTTTACATACATTATATATGTTTTTATACTAGTATATTCTAAATATTTCTGATTGTAATATATATATAAATTAATTACAACAAAAAAAAAAAAATTACAAATTATTTTTCAAAGTTGCATGGCAATTATTGATTCTATAACTATCAATATTTAATTACTATAACATTGTATTTTTATTTACAGTGATTGGTATTGATAATAAAAGTCAGTATACAAAATAAAAACTACCGTCAAATGGGTAAACTTGGGCCACTTAAATATTAATCATCATTATAGTGATATCCAATCCACAATATTAGTAAAATTTATTCAATTATTGTTAAGAAACATAAAATATTAGTTCACAAAAATTAAGTGATAAAATCTGTAAAATATTTATTGTCCCATGTTAGCTCATTTGAGGTATTTATTTTATTTATTCTTTTAAGTTAATAATTAAAATAAAATAATTCGAAACACCATGAATTAATTATAATGTAGTTTTTAAATGAGAAATAGACTATTAATAATAAAAGTTACCATTTCTAGATGAGTTTTATAGAACTCGTATAGAGTGTGTTTAAGCGTTATACAGGTTGATCGTCTAAGTGCTACATAATATCTTTAAAAATATAAGCGTTATAAAAAAATTTTTTTTTAATCATTATGGATCTTTGATGAGATGTTTCATAAGAAAAATTAAATTTCTACCGCTATCCCTTATGCTTAAAACTTCATATTTTCAAATGACAACACAGTAAACCGGTAGCTCTAATTGCTACATAAAATAATAATGTTACCGTGATGGTAAAACTACTGAATTGTTTCATCAAATATCGTGCATTTTAAAGTAGCGAATCTGGTTTAAAATTCATTATTTTTTATTATTTTTTTTTTTTTATAACGAACAAAAATATATAACAATAATATGGGGTTCCCATTTGAAAATCTGAAGTTGATTCAAGTTCTAAGTATAAGAGATGATGATAGAAATTTAATTTTTCTTGTGAAACAGCTCATCAAAGATCCATAACGATTTAAAAAAAAAATTGTTTATAACACTTGTATTTTTAACGATATTACGTGAGAGATAGTTAGCTGATCACTCTGTATATATAATTATGAGTTACAGTATATTTTTACTTATTAATTAATTAAGTTTACCTTTAATCCAAAATCAATGCAACAAATATACATAATTTTAAATTTTCGATATTAATTTCCTAGAAAAATTAGAGGATTGTGCTATTTGTTTATCAAGAGAATCGGATGTCATGTTTGAAAATTGCAAGCATTTTTTTTGCAATTTTTGTACGAATAGACTGATATACAAAAACGATTTAAGTTGTCCAACTTGCAGAGGAGAAGTTATGGATTATGTTGGTTTAGGTATGTTGGATATTTTAGATTTACACAAATTATTAAATCTATGGACGTAATCAGGTTGACACAGCGTCGCTTCGTGATACATGGTGCCCCGCGCCAACTTTATCAACCACCGCCCTACTATAGGTATTTGGCAGTTTGACTGACCAACATCATACGTGTTGGTGTGTGCCATACGCCAAAGTCCAATAAATGTCGCATAGCCAACGACGACCCTCCGCGTGAAGTCGCATGACTGGCCACGACGATTCGCACCAGCGCACCGTCAACGCTACTGACTCTTGACGTCCGAGGACATTGCCGGACACCGCGTCGCCGACTTCAGCGGTAGTGCCACAATATTTTGCGACATTGCTATTGATTGCGTTCGTTTTTAGGTTTTTAAATAATCTGCTATTATTTATTATTAATAAACGATCCACTAGTGTCTACAACATAAATCAGTGCCGACTACATTATTATGACGTAGTTCGTTTTTTGGCACGAGAAGTTCTAGAGTCTACAACGTTTTTTTTTTTCAAAAACGATATAGGCGATACAAACACGCGCAACTATGTCTAAATTATGTAAATCTTTGTATTTTAGCTTCGATGCGAAGCTGAGAAGGTATTGGTTTTACTATGATGTGTTTTTTTTAAATTTTTTTTCGTATCTGTTACCACTTTTTTTTAGATCTCATCGAACAGATTTCATTCAACGATACGTAAATGGGGGAAACCTCCAAAAAAATTACAAATTTAAGAATCGTTTATTTTCGAAATTTTTTCAATTTTTTTTACTAAAAACTGCCATAACTTTTTCAAAAATGAACACATCAGTATAATTTTTTTTTTTAGAGATGCTTAATGTCTTTACCTATCATTTGGTATATTTTTTTTATAAATTTAACCCTTTACCTGGCCACAGGAAGGAATTCAAAATGACAACTTTTTGACAAAAAATTAACTTTTTCTTGTTAAAAATCCTCGATTTTATATTATACATTTTTAATTTTATAGTGCTACAACTGAAAAATGTATGCATCAATTCAATATTTTTATTAGAAAGAATATTTATACACTTCTTATATAAAACATACTTTTTTTTAATATCGTACCATTTCCATTAATATAGGGGGAGGTGGGTTTAAAACTTAAAAATGCATATAAAAAGTAGAACTTTTTCAACTTAATTTTTGAAAGTTTTCCGGAAATACTGACACTTTTATATATATCTTAAATTAAAGCTTATGTAATATACTTTATAATAAAAAAAAAAAATTTGACCTCTGAACTTCGTGATGAAAATGGCTACCAAATGCTATTTTTGTGTTAAAATTTTCGATTTTATATTTTACATTTTTTACTTTAAAATACCATAACTTTTTAAAAAATGTATGGATCAATACATCTTTTTTTATGAAAAGTAGTATTTATATACCTTTCATTTGACATACTTTTTTTTTTAAATCAGACCATTTCCCTATTTACGGGGAGGCTTCAAATCTAAAAAATGCATATATAAAGTAGAATTTTTTCAACTTAACTTTTGAAAATATTCTGGAAGGTGACACTTTTATATATATCTTAAATTAAAGCTTATGTAATATACTTTATTATAAAAAAAAAAGTTTGATCTCTGGACTTGTCTTCGTGGTAAAAATGGCTACCGAATGCTATTTTTGTGTGAAAATTTTCGATATTATATTTTACATTTTTAACTTTATAATGCTATAACTTATTGAAAAGTGTATGGATCAACACAATTTTTTTATGAGAAATAATATTTTTTAATAATTCCTTTTTCATTCAGGAAAATAGCAGATCATGTCGCTTTTAAAATAATTTACCAATTTTTAAAATTAAACACTATCTAAAAATTTGCATCGAAGCGTTTTTTATGATAGTGATTTTAATCACTATCAGATATCATTATAATTGATCCAACTATGCCACGATCCCGCTGTACTGGGTTTTTTGTTTTATGCGTTTCATATTGTTTTAATTATATATTTCATAATATCATTTGTGTTATTTTTGATTTTTTTTTTTTTTTTTTTTAAGTATTTT